CAGATTCCTTTAGAAGAACTTGCTATTAAGGAAGATCTCACATATGGAGAGTATCCGATAAAGATCTTATAGATGGCAGAAAGAGTTACAAGGAGCCGAGTTATAAAAATGTGCAAGGTATAGTGGAATCGGTATACAGAGAATGAGGCTACTTGGGAAAGAGAAGAGGATTTGCGAAAGTCTTATCTACAACTGTTTGAGTAAGCAATCATCCGAATCTCGAGGACGAGATTCATCTTAAGGGGGGTAGAATTGTAATACCCTAAAATTTGCATTCTTTTAAAATAGTTAAATTTGATTTATTTATGTAATTATGTGTGCATTCAAATATAGGAAAATAATAATTTTTGGTGAAATTAAAAACAAACATAAGGATAGATACATGTTGATGCACTCATGCTGTAGCAGTTCATTTATTGTGTTGAGTGGTTTTGATCCAAAAGTCAAAAGGATTCAAAAATCATTTGAAAATGAACTTAGAAAACTGATTTGGAAAAAAGAAAAGTAAATTCTTTTCCCTGCCCCTTCCCTTCCTCATTTTCGGCCTGCTGGCCCATGTCCCCCCCCCCCGTCGGCCACTCGCCTCCCTTCCTTCCCCTTCTCTCCTTTCTCTTCCTAGGCCGGCCCACTCGGGCGAGCAACCACCGCGCCCTCCCCTCCTTCCCTCCCCGCTGACCGCCTGGGCCCACCCGTCAGCGCCGTCGCCCACCTCCCGTGTCTCGCGCGGTCATGGCGCAACCGCCGCCCGCGCCCACCTCGCGTCGTGGGAGCGCCTTCCCCCGTGCCCCGGCCTCCATAAAAGAAGCTGAGCCCATCACCGCTCTCCCTGTTTCCTCCCCCGCTCCACTCTCGCATTTGCTCGTGCATGTAAAATACACAACCGCAGCGTCGAGGTCCGCCGTCCGTCCCTCCGTGCGGTTCGCCGTCCCCGAGCCGCCTTTGTCTCCGATTTTCACCGTGGTGAGATTCGCCGTGCTCTCCTCTCTCTCCCCGACCTTTTTCCATGGCAAATGATGGCTAGTATGTCCATTTTTTAGTGCGCCGGTGAGCTCTCGCCGCCGGCCATGACCACCACCACATCGGCCGTGTCCTCCGGCCGCGTTCTTGGCCTAGGCGTGATCGCCTTCACCTCCTCTCTCTCCCGGCACCCTCGGTTCATCGAACCATGGACCGAAGGCCTTGTTTCCCGCTCACCAACGACCTCCTCGCCGCCGGCAATGGCTGCGCTGCCGCAGCCGCCACTGTTCCGCCGGTTTTCCCCCTCTCCCTTCCCCTTTCTAATCTGAGCCACCTATCGCTTGATCAACGACCGTGGATGGCCGATACCCCTTCGCCGTGGCAAAGTTGCTAAAGAATCCCTCAGCTTTATTCTTTTTACACCCGCAGTCCTCGGCCGGTATAAATATCCCATATTTAATTTTATTTAAATTCGAACATAGTTCATTCTATTTATAGAAATGCCACTGCATTGTTTTTCTTATAAAATCATCGTTTTAGCTCTGAATCGACCCGTTCCAATTGCGTTAGGTTCGTAATTAAGTTCTCTACATGTTAATACCACTGTCAAACATGCTTGCAACTTTTAAATTTTGAAGTTAGATTTAATTAAATAAATTGTTATAGGAAACCCTGTTTAATTCATAACTTTCGTGTTTTAGCTCCGTTTTTCGTGAACTTTGCATCTATGTGATCGTAGAGAGACGTAGATTCTTTTTAAGAGCCTTTTTATCTTGTTTTTATGCCATGGTGTACTGTTCTAATCCCATAATTGTTTGCTTTGCATGAATGCCTTTGGAATGCTTGTATGTTGCTTTGTTGGTCGAGTTCAGACGGTGAGGAGAACGTTGGAGACCAAGAGTTCTTTGACGACCAGCAGGAGCAGCCTAAGTTCGTTGAGCAAGGAAAGTATAGCATGGGATCTACCTTGATATCCTATTCACCATTTATTAATTTCTCATTTGCATGTGTCTAATTTTGATACCCGTAAGGACATCCTAGTGGTTGATTATCCTGTTTCCTTGTCTCCTACGGGTTATATGCATATGGGTAGTTTGCTAGCGCTCAATGTAACTGTACATGATCTACATAATGACTAATGGTTCTATAGAACAAAAAGATAAATTTTTCTTTTACACAACTAAATTATAGGGCGAAGGAGCAAATGTCTTTTGATCATGATGCTCTCGGCCCTCCATAAGGACTTATCTGTCGGCAAAAGCTGGGACTGACAGTGCAACCGTGAGGGTCACATGGCTCTGACTTTAGCTCAGTAATAGGACCTTTTCTAGCTTGTTAGAGGTTACCTTTATGGCGCAAAAAGGGTTTTTCACGTTGGGTATAGGGCTGCCTCTATTTCTATGTGTATAGCCGCGATGGAGATGTGCCATAGGAAAGGGGGGTTCCTACATCTGCCTGCCGTGGAAACCTAGCGGCCCTAACTTGTTAGAGAAACCTATGAAATGGCTTCATAATATACCCCGCCCGCTCACCTTGGCAGTGTTATGGGAGTAATTAACCCGGGCATATGGGAATCACGACTCATGGTGAATGTGCACAACCTCTACAGAGTGTTACAAACTGTTATAACAGCCATGCTAACGGTCACGAGCGGCCCAGAAAACTCACAGAATAAATGATTACTTATTGTTCATTTATGATGTTCTACGATGATAATATGATTCAATTGATTATGATATCTGATCATATGGGTTTAATTGGAGCTTAAGCATAACTTGATAATAGCTGATGATAAAATCTTGACTTACTAAAAGTGCTTACCGTAGTAAACCAGAGTCATCCTTTTTGAGCTTTCATAACCCCATGTTATCTTGTTAAGTACGGGAAGTACTTACGCTTGTTTTCTTTCAATATTGGATAAAAATCCCGGATAGGTAACAGATGTCAACGGATATGAGGAGTTTCCAGAGGACTTTTAGGCTTGTGGTCAACTAGTTGGCCGTCCTGTGTTGGAACTACCACGAGAGAGTTACCTTTTTATTTTCCGCTGTGTAGTGTAAGACTATGTGATTTGTATTAATCGTGATGTAAGATACACCGTGATGATACTTATTGTAATTTGTCAACTTATGTGTACGACTGATCCCTGGGCACACATGTGTTTTATGCATTCAATTTTATCATTAAAATTGGGTGTGACAGGGACTTACATATCCCTCTTCTGAGTCATCATCATCATCCTCTTCTTCTTCGCCTTCAGCAGCCTCTCCTGCTCTTCCTTCTGCTCCCCCTTCCTCCTCGTCACACTGCTCCTGAGTAAGTATCACTTCTAGATTCTTTTCTAACTCGTTATTGAACTGCTCCTGAGTAAGCTGGTCCTCTAGTTCTTGCTCCTCATAGGTTGGCTGCTCATCATGCTCGGGGCATCGGGCTGCACTGTCTGGTGTCCACGACATTATTTCGCGCTTTGTTCTAATAGATGCAAGAAAGTGTGCTTTAGATATGCGAGAAGGTATAAGAAATAAAAAAGGTCTATAAAACAAAGTAGTCCTATAAAACAACAATATATCAAAAAATGAGTATTAGAAGTAGTAGAGGCTTCAGAAACATGTCAATCATCATTTGATCATGAGCTTGGAGCATCAAGGCATCATAATAGAGAAGAGAGGAGAAGGTAATGTAGTTGCGGCTGCTAATGATGACAAGTTCCTCACAAGTTCTTGATCATCAGCTCATATTCCATATAATGTATGGACTTAAACAATTTCATCATCGACAAAACAAAGGAGAGGAGAGATTTGGCAAAAAAAAAAGCAACAGCTGTTTAACAAACATAGAGAGGAAAAGGTGTAAAAAAAGCAGCAGCTGCTCCCCAAACATAAATGATAGGAAATGTGGCAGAAAAAAACAACAGCATGGAGTATATACTAGTGTAGTAGGTACTGCCTCTAGATCAAGTATTGGTAGTAGTCTAGACTCTAGAGTGGACCAGCCGTAGTATTCCGTGTCAAAGCACATAGACACAGCCAAGACCACCAATGGACACAGCTACGGTGAAAGTGAAACTGACCATTGGTGACTTGTTAAAAGAATATTCCAGGCAGAGCTACCTCCAGAGCCTTTGCTGGGGGTTAAAGACCCACTAATGGGGTTCCTAAAGCTGACTGTGGCAAGAGCCAGGAAGCAAGCAACCATGTGGCAAGAGAAAAAAGAGATTCTACCATTACTTTCTATGATATGCAAACATGTAGTAACTGAATGACACTGATGATGATGCATGACAGCGTGAGATTGGTGATGGATGTGGGGTACAGACAGTGACATGTCCCTATGGCAAAAGTAGACCCAGTTGGAGTATTGGACTCGGAACTCTTTGATTAGGTGGAGACAGTATGACTAGATTTGGGCATTGATTAGCTCACTAATAATTTCATGCATGAATGCAAATGTCAGCTCATAGTAATTTGTGAAGTCAGTGCACGACAGTTTAGGTTCCACCCAAGCTGAACCAGAGAGAAAGCCATGGAGGTTCCTAAGGGTCTGAAGGATACAGAGGAGGATACTCATATACCGCTAATAGAAGCACAAATAACTGACTTAAACTGAAAATAAAAAATAAAAAATCATTACCATCCGCTAAATAATTACACACATCCACATTAAAACCTTAATAATTAATCCAGCTAAAGAACACTCAAGCCCCCTTAGCTTAGCTTAAAACAGTTCCAGCACATAAGACCCAAAACACATGGTGACCTAAACTGAAAAGGGAAAATTGGTCTGGTAGCATTGAAAGATCGCCGTATCCGGAAAATACCATCGAAATTTTGCCGCTCCGTAAAATACCATCGAAAAAATGCAAGGTTACCTCGATATAGCATTCCGTCACGTTTGGAGCAAACGCCGTCGCCTCCGTCAAGCTCATCCCCTTCTCCTTCCTGAGGTGAGCGCGGCCGCTGCCTCCGCTCCAGGCGGGGGGCCATGGCAGCGAGCTTCGGCGTCTAGCTGCTGCGGGCGGAATCGTGGGCTGGTGCACAAGCACGTTAAGCTAGCTGCCTTCTGGTTTTGGCTAGGCGAACGAAATTAAAGCAAGCTGCATCGGTGCGTGCCTTGAGGAAGATGTCGACGGCGCGGTAGAGGCCATCGGTGACGATGCGAGCGTGGTCCGGGAGCAGCTCGGCGAGGGAGATGAACTTGGACGGGAGGATGTTGGAGTCGAGCGCCACCTCCGCGAGGTAGCTGTCCAGCAGCTTGGCGGCCTTCACCAGGAGGCTCTGCTTGGGCGACCGCGGGCTGTCGTAGTCGAACCCGGCGTCCTCCTCATTGTGGTCGTCGTCGAGGTTGAGGAACACCGAGAAGATGCGTGCCACCATGTCCATGTCGTACAGCGCGTGCTGCTGCCCGTGCCCGCCTGGCGTGGCCGCGCCCGCGCCCGCGCCGGCGGCGATGAGTATGTTCTCCAGGATGGCCTGGTCCAGCTGCATGCCGATCCGCTTCTCTAGGTCAGCCCTGCAGATGCTGGATGCGGACACCGACATCACCGTCTTGAGGAGCCCCGAGAGGAAGGCCATCGGCACAGGGCTCTTCTTGGACTGCGCCGGGAGCAGGCCCACGATGGCCTCCACGACGGCGCGCTGCTTCTTGACGGCGTCAGCGTTCACGGCGCCGCCGCCGCATCTGTGCACGTCCCTGGCCATGAGCCCGTGCAGCGAGTTCTGCGCGTAGTTGATGAGGATCCGGGTCACCGTCTCCTGCTTGAGCCCCTTGGCCTTGACCACGGACAGCAGGCGCTGGAAGAAGTCGAGGCCGAGCGTGGCCACCGACTTGCCCCACCAGTCGCCCTACGAGTCGAGGTCGGCGAACGCCGTGGCGGGCTTCAGCCGCGCCGCGCACTGGTCCAGCTTGGACAGCCCCGACGTGATCTGCTCCTTGCACACGTTGCTAGCGATGGCGGCGATGAGGCGGGGCACAAGGCCGACGTCCTCGGTGTCCGGGAGTAGCGCCTCGCAGCTGCGGAGCACGACGACGGAGCTGGCGATGCTGGGGAGCACCGCGTCGCGGAGGAACGCCTCGGCGCGGAGCTCCAGGCTCTTATCGGAGAAGTCGTTGGTGATCTGCAGCCAGACGCCGGAGCTCGCTGCCATGGCCCCCCGCCTGGAGCGGAGGCAGCGGCCGCGCTCACCTCAGGAAGGAGAAGGGGATGAGCTTGACGGAGGCGACGGCGTTTGCTCCAAACGTGACGGAATGCTATATCGAGGTAACCTTGCATTTTTTCGATGGTATTTTACGGAGCGGCAAAATTTCGATGGTATTTTCCGGATACGGCGATCTTTCAATGCTACCAGACCAATTTTCCCAACTGAAAATTGTACTTGAAGGAATAAACATGTAGATAAGCTGAAATTGCTTCTCTAGATCATAAAAGGGACATGCAGCTGGGCAGTGTCTACTATCAGGTTGCTGTTGCACTGAGCATTACAGGAAAAAATGCCAACATACTAAAAACAATAAGACTGAAATACTGATATTTGAAACACTGAACCTTGAAAGGGATAACTGAAACATTCAAACTCAAACTATAAACTAACAAATATGAGTTTTCAGCCGTACAAAACACAGACTGCTAGACAGAGGTTCAGACCAAGAGCTGCACTTAGTCACGTCAAGGGAAAAGAAACAACAACTGCTGAACAGATAAGCTGCCAGCTCAAGGATTTGACTGCAATACTGCTGATACACTGCTTAACTAAAAGATGGAAAGCAGTTGCTAAAAAGTGTGGTTTAACTGCTACTAACAAACAACAAAGAGGGCACTGCACTGCACTGAAACTAATGCTGCTGAACAGAGATTAATAGGAACATTTAAATTAAAAAATCATAAACTAATAGAAATATTTAAACTGAAAAATCATTAAAAAAACAAACTATACTAGTCATAATTGATCAATCAGCCAATTATCAGTGACCTATAACAGTAAAAATGTAGTATTACTAGTCATAATTTGAAATATAGCATTATTCTTGCAGAGCTGTGGTACAACCTGGCAAACGGCAGAATAAAAAAAATACACATCAATTATAAACCATCATCTGTATATCTAATGGGTCTTTAATGATTACTAATATCCACAGCTACTGATATTGCTATCTGACATAATAGCAATGGATGATTCAAGATCAATTCAATTTTCAAAAAAAAAAAAAATAGGACCGAGAACTAAGTGACATTCAGTTCATCTCTAGTTCAGGTAAGATAGGCATATACATTTTTTTTGCAAAAGGACATCACTAATGGAATCATTCCACCAGAAGATTAGGAGAACTGCCATTTAGTTTTCCATAGATTATAGCTGAAACTGAACTGCAATCACCAAAAAACAAAACTGCTAAACTAAAGCTAAACTAAGGTAACACCTCGAATCAAATCCACAAAGAAACCACTGAAGCTAAACTAAGGTAACACCTCGAATCAAATCCGTAACATGTATTTACACTCATGAGAACTTTGTTAGGCCATTATTATTTGGAAACTTTAAAAAAAGTCCAACCACTGTTGAAGCAACAAAATCTTTGCTATAGTCACAAAACAGAAGATATGAGCTAAATATTTAAAAGCAGATGGCACATTCTTCCTTGAAACAAAATAGATGCACACTACTACTCAAGCTAGCAGTTCAGCACCAGTTAACTACATCTGACAAGCTCAAGGCCTTAAACATTCAATTAGAACATCACTACAAAGAAATCATGGCACTAAACAAATGAGAAGCACAATCAAATGGTAGTTGCATCAGTCTCATTCCAAATTGAGGCTAACAAAAAAATATTTGTCAACAAACATGTCCACAGAAAACAGTTGTCACCTAATTACAGGCAACTCCGATCTTCTAGGATAAGGAATACAAACAGAGCAAACTGTGCCATGACTAAAAGCTAAAACTTCCATGCATTCTTAGACCTACATTGATAACACAACGGTTCCTGCCCCTGCATGCCACCTACATTTATACAAAGAATGGCAGCAACGTAGCTTGAAAGTACAAACAGCAGGCAAAATGATTCAGGTGGCAGACTATACAAACTTCCATATTCTAATCAGATATCATATAGGGAAACAGCTTTGTTTATTCCACACAAAACTGAAAACTCTATGCATAACATTTTGACCACAACTGACTGCGAGTTCCGAAGGCCAACATCATCCTTCCTCTTCCAGGAAGTGTATGATTAAGAGCAGATGGCCCATGTCTCTGTTCTACTAGTTGCAACAGCATGTATGCAACCAAGGTAGTAGCTGGGATCCAGACAACTAAAATCATTCAATTAGCATACTACCCTAAAATCAGTCTACTGACCAAATGAGGACCCTAACAAAATAGTGATTACTTGAAGCAGACAATAGCTATCAACAGACCATGCCAACGGAAAACAATATCCATTTCATTACCTGCACTTTCTGCGCCTGCCGTCGGTTATCACGTCGAAAGTGAAGGCGACGAGGCGGCGCTCAGGGTCAGCGTCGTCGGGCACGAGCCTGATGGTGTCCTTGTGTAGATTGACATAGTTCTTCACCTTATGCGCGTGCTGGTGCTCCACGAACTCGGGCGGAGGCCCCGTCAGCGCAGGCGGCACGGGCAGCGGCGTGGGGAGGGGCGCAGCGCGGGAGCAGAGAGGCGGCGTGGGGAGGGGCGCAGCGGGAGCGAGGCAGTGGGGCTGGCGGCGCGGAGCGAGGCGCTTGGGCTCTAAAACCCTAGCGGGAGCACCGTGGGCGCCGGGGGAAAAGTTGGGCAGCCTGATGGCGTCGGGAGGAAGAAGAGAGGGCCCAACACTTGTTCACCCCGAGCGCCCGTGCTTATATACAAGGACACTTTGTAGGGGCGGTTCCTGATCCAGCTGCCCCTATAAATGAATTTGTAGGGGTGGTTTCTGATCTAGCTGCCCCTACAAATAATTTTCATTTTATTAAATTATTAATTCTGTATTTTTTATATTACAAAAACACAATGTAAATGTATATAATATTTTGTATTATTCTATATATGCACAAATATATATAAAAACAACTGTAGTCAAAACAATATAGAAAACAAACAAAAAATTTAAAAATTTGAATTTTAAAACTTTGACTACAATTTTAGGACATTAAATGACCTAAAATGAAAATATTGTAAACATAAAAGTTGTATAACTCATTAACATGTACAACTTTTATTTTGGTCATCTTGTCATGTGACTTTGTTTGAACGATTTAAAATTTGAAATTCAAATAATTTCAACTTGAAACAATATTTTGAAAGAGTAAATGATTTCAGCTGAAAAACTCATGAATACCAAAGTTGTAGAACTCATCAATATGTACAACTTTTATTTTAATCATCTTTTCATTTGACCAAATTTGAATAGTTGAAATTTTTAATTTCAATAAATGGCAAGTTCAAACAAGATTTTGAAACCTTAAATGATTTCAACAATAAAAGTCGTGAACATAAAAATTGTTGAACTCATTACTATCTACAATTTTTATTTTGATCACTTCTTCATGTGACAAAGTATGAGTAAACATTGTTCACAAATTCATATATGACTCATAGTTTCATGAACTATACGAGAGACATGTTGATTCATGAACAATGCTTACTATCATTTTGTCAAATAAAGAAATAACCAAAATAAAAGTTATAGATCTTGATGAGTTATATAATTTTGGTATTCATCACTTTTTTAGCTGAAATCATTTAATAGTTGAAAATCTCGTTAGAACTTGTCATTTATTTTAAATTTGAAAATTTGAATTACTTAAACTTTGTCAAATGAAAAGAATGACCAAATCAACACAGTAACTTGATAAGGCATGATTTTAAAAAATTTTAGAAAAAAAATCATCACATTTGGAGTTAGTACGAGAAAAAAAGACTAGTTACAAATTTTACCTAGAGATTAAAAATAAAAATCACAACTGTTCATGATGATAAATGATGAACAAGTGTGATTTCTTATTTTAATCTGTGGCTGAAACTTGTAACTAATTTTTCTCCCTCATACTAACCCAAAATGTAATGGTTTTTTTTCTAAAATTTTCTAAAATCATGCTCTATCATTTTAGCCTAGTCATCTATCTTTGTCACTAATTTTGAACAATTCAAATTTTAAATTTTAGAAAATAACAACTTCAAACCTGATTTTAACCAATAAATGATTTCAGCTGTAAATGTGATGAATATAAAAGTTGTTGAACACATCACTATCTACAACTTTTTATTTTAGTCATCTTTTTATTTGATAAAAGTTGAACAGTTCAAATTTTAAATTTCAGAAAATGACAGCTTCAAACCTGATTTTCAACCACTACATGATTTCAGCTGTAAAGGTGATGAATATAAAATTTGTTGAACACATCACTATCTACAACTTTTATTTTGGTCATCTTTTTATTTGACAAAATTTGAACAGTTCAAATTTTGAATTTTAGAAAATGACAGCTCCAAACCTGATTTTCAACCACTAAATGATTTCAGCTGTAAAGGTGATGAATATAAAAGTTGTATAACTCGTCAAGATCTCCTACTTTTATTTTGGCCATTTCTGTATTTCATAAAGTGTTAAGTGATTTCATAAAGTTTTAGCAGTAATAGAGTGAATGTTGAAATAGATTCATCTAGATGTTGTAAAGGGTAGTCTCACACATATGTATAAATGTAGTCTCACACACATACATAAATATATAGTCTTATATACATACATAAATATATAATCTAATATGCATGCATAAATGAAGTCTTACAAACACACATCTACACAAACACTCCATGTTCAACAACTAGCTACACCGCTATAACGACTTTCCCTTTGATACCTTTTCGTTCTCATGGTAATATGTCTTTGGGTAGGTTCTTTTCCACAACACTCATCTTCTTAGGAAAGTCTGTGAATAGCAGCATCTCATCATAGTTATTGTAAGCTTCAACATCATCCACGCCATCAACTCTGATAATGTGCTGTTTCCCGAAGGCAACCACGTGCTTTGTCTTCTTCTTCGAGGGGAGGTTACTTTGTGGGTCAGACATATAGAAAACTTATGCGACACATGAAGCGAGCACCCAAGGGTCGTCTTGGTAGCCTAGATTCTCGAGGTCCAGGACTCTCA